TGGCACCAGATATCAGTGCAGAGAGATGTGATGTGGAAAGACATTTCACTGCTCAATCTTGGCACAGGCTTTACGGACAGATAAAGGTTAAATAGGGGTGGGAATCTTTGTGAATGTCACGATTTGGATTCGCATTTGCTGGCATGATTCTATTCACAATCAGTTCTGGATTCAAAAATCAATTCATGCCTCAAAAAGTAGAAAAGGGGAAAGTACTTTAAGGCTCTTACTCCAGTGTAACACCATTCACTCATGTCTGATGAGTTTCAATATGAAATGTAACGGGCAATTAAACAAACATGTCTTGATGAGATCACTGCCTGCAGTGTGCGGCTTTAAAGCAAATGTTAGCAGCAGTTTTTTGGAAGCAAGTCAAGTGTATCAGTATATAGCAGTACCACACTGGCTCAATGCTACACACAACACTGTACAGACAGTACTTCTGAACTAAAACACAGTCCAGGCCGAGTTACTTTCTGTCTGATCACAGTTGGGTATATGTTTTTCAAAGTGGTAATGTGTGAGTTGGCTGAAGTTCAGCACTCCATGTATCATAGCATATATAGTATTTGCAAAATACTTCACAGATTCAAAAATATTAGGTTATTACAGTGTTTCCCTTGTATTTGTTCCAGCAGCAGTGCACAACTGCACAAGTTTTATTTTATATTTAGCACATCTGCTGACACAAGAAGGGCTGCAGACACATATTTGTACACAGTAATAGATGTCAAATTACATTTAAAAAATGTTTACCATACACCATATGGGGGCAGATATAAAATTTGACATCTACAGTTTCAATCAATATTGTGACTCTAAAATTGTGTGTAAAAACAATTGATAACGGTCAACATGTAGAACACAGATACAAGTTACTTACACAAAAAAGATTATACCCAAATAGTTAGAGGTTTTTGTGTAATGACATCAAAACCAAAAACTGTAACAATTGGCCACGGTCTCCCCAAATCAATCACGAGTTTGTAGGCGCAGAGACAAAATCATTTAAATCCTGGAGAAATGCAGATGAGAAAGAGCTGCTATACATGAGGGATGCATGATGGGAAAACAGTGTATTAATCCAAATTTTTCCCAAATGCTTGCCTTGTTTGAAGATGAACCAATAAGTGACTCTCGTGTGTATGCACAGTTCTGATTTATTTTACGGTCATCATAACAACATTGCCGAAAATCAAGTTTTTAAATCTGTGAATCATAAAGAATCCAGATCTTTATGTGAATCAACTTTCTCCTCAACCTTTTTAAAATAATTACATGCATTAACATGTAGACTAAAGAATGATCAGATGAGATGTGTAGCAAAGAGTAACACAGAGCTCGAACAGCAAAATTTAAAAACTCTGTGAGCTCAGTGAGGCACAACTTAAGCTCAGTTACCTTTACGGAAAAAATTATTTCAACATTCATAACATCTGGCTTTCATGTGGAGTGAGTGCACACACGCACACACACACACACACACACACACACACACACACACACACACACAAACACACACACACACACACACACACACAAACCGCCAGCACTGCCAGACATGTTAGAACAGAGTCAGCAGTCGCTCCCTTCCCTCCCCGCCCAGCATTCAGGCTTGGACCGAGCATGAGTAACCCAACAAAACTAGCAATCGCAGTGCAACGCACCGCGGAAACGTCAACCTGACCATTACGTATGCTCGAAATAGAGCGCGTAGCCTTAAAGGAGAGGGTTAAACAATGAGCTGCAATTATAGCAAAACCCAACCAAACCCTGTTGTTTTGTTTCTTCCGTTTCGACAGAAAGAAAAGGGCTGTTGCAGGTGATCTGATCCGTTTCCTGTGTGCAGCTTTTGTACCTGGATTATCTGCTATTGTTTACACTGTCACACCTGTGGAGAGTCTGACACATGGTATGAAAAGTTAACTGCAGCATTTCATGATATAGAAAAAATACCTGCACATATTTGAAACTTTGCAGTGTGTGTAACAACATACAGCTGCATGAATTCCCCTCTGCCAGTCACTTGGGAGTGTGCCAGCATTTCCTGTAGCCACAGCCTCATAATTACTTCAATGGAAAGACAAAGTAAAGATAATATAAGTCCTTATTTGGCCTGATTGTTTACCCTACACCAAAACTCAAACAAGACTTACAACTGCAATTACAGCTGTGATACTGAGGTATAAATCTGCTGCTAGGAGCAATTCATAAGCTCAGGTATCTACTGTTACTGACCCAGGACCAGGACTGAACCTGGGTCTCAGTAACATGTCTACCTGCGACCAATCTGGGCAAAATCAAGAAAATATCCGACAGGAAACACTGAGAGCTGAGGTAAGAAGCGTGTGAGATAAGCTGATAATATCCTCGGGGGGATGCTAGCAGGTTAAATCTCTCTGGTGCACTTCCTTCAGAGGACTCAAGCTTCACTAAGAAGGCAAAGTAATCAAAGGAAAAAACACAATCCAAGGAAAGGGGGGGAAAGGAGACAAATGCAGGAAGAACTGACCCATTTTCTTTCTTCTGTCCCCTTTGGTGAACTTGAGACAAGGATAGGAGTCATGCAGCATCCCTGCAGTTGCAGAGGAGGCATGCAACACTGGTGTAAGCAATTTTCAGGACTCAAATGGAAATAATGCCACTTTTAGAAACACGAGGTAATCTTCAAAGACACATGGCCACCTCTCTGAAAATCCTCACCTCCTTAAAAGCTGACTTTCCTGAGATAACAAAGTTTGCACCCAAAAGCAGCTGTATGGACTACATAATGTAGAGTGATATGAGTGCAGAGCCCAGGGCACCTGTATAACTTACACCTACAAGGACATTTGACTGCATACACACCCACATAAAGATAACACATGCAATCAGACGGTAGGAGATAGAATTTCTCCTTCTTTATGGCAATAATAGTAATATCATCCACCCCCATTCCTCACTTACATTGTCCTGATACTCAAAATATGATTCCCCATATACCTTATCTTCTAGCAACAAGGCCAAAGGCAGATCGAGTGATAAAATCTGGAGAGAGCCTTTTATAAACAGCTACCGAAACGGTATGAAAATATCCTCGTAGCGTGTACTGGGCTTTCCTGGAAGAATTTGCATAGCAAGGAGACGATTATGTAAAAAGTGTATAACAGGTTATCTCCAGTTACCTATATATAGCTCCATAGATGCTTTCTTCTCCAGCTCAGGTACTGTGTCTAACAGTTTTTTTGTATTCACTGTGTACTCTGGGCATCAGTGAAAGCCAGCCTCGAGGCTAGGGATTCAGTTGAGCTTTTGATGCTGAGTTTAATACCCAGGAAATCACTCGTAAATTCAGAAAAACAACACATCCAGCATGCACTGAGGTGTGTATGTAACAGGTAATATCATATGTGGTTTCATGAGTATAAGTACAGTAAAATGTAGCTTAAAAGCTCTAGAACAAGACTGTAAAACAAATGTTATTCATATAAAGAAATAAGTGGGAGGGAGGGGATGCCTTGTGCAATACAGGCTAACCCATCGCACATTCCAACGTAGATTCAACTGAATGAGTCACCAACACGCACACCAACCATCATTGTTCACGCATTTCCTTTTTGCTTCCTACTCAGGCAGCGCTCTTCCTGCCCAGACTACACCTGCACCATCTCTCTCTCCAATGCTGAGCCAAGGCTGTTTCGATCTCAAAAACACAAGTTGTTTTTCTTCCGCTTCCCCCCACATCTGGAGCAGAGACCTAGGTAGGTAGCATGTCACACACTGTATGCTGGGGAATGGGCCACACAAGGTAGCTGATTAACCTACCATGTGTACTGGATGAGCTTCAACTGTTAGTAATTCATACAGGGGATCCCCTGACTGAATGTGCTGGCCGACACGTTTGATTTCAGTTGTGACAAACATCTATGTAGTAACACATTGTAACACAATGACAACAAGCTCTTTGTGACTTGGCAAAGGACATGTGAGGTGCAAGGTAGTTAAAACAAGCAACCATGGGACACAGGTTAAGATGGAAAAGCATCTCCTCTGCTGTAGTGCTATAGAGCAAGACAATAGGTCGAAGAAATGCTCAACACCTGATCTCTGACATCTCTGGAAATAATTTGTCTTTAGAATAAAATTATGGTCATCCAGCCCTTAAGTTAAAACTTTGCAGTAAAGTGTGAGGACACCCATTCACTTTTCTGCCCTGATTGCTCTCTGGTCTAATATTAAACAGAGGGGAAATTGTTGACATTCCTGAATACTAAGACAACATCTTTGCAGTTTGTTTTTAAGGGAGAGGAAAGAGAGGGGAATTTGCAGCTCCAAAACAGGATTGATTAGCATGGCTTACACATCATTTTGTGCCATTCAAGACATCTACACATGCTTTGCAGTGCTGGTGGAGGGATGTGTGGGGCACTGGGGGCATGGTAATTACACCACAATAACAAGGGGAGGAATTCTGGCTACGTTTCCCAAGGAATTTTGGACGGTAACGTTAGCATACAATAAATATAGACACAAAGTTAGCATGATGTAGGCACTTTTCCTTGAGGGCACTATGGGCAAAAGTTAGCATGAGAAGAGCATAAAACAAAAGTGGGCAAACAGTCAAAGTTATAAATCTCCATTAATCAGTAATCCGTTGAACATGTTTTGTCATATCAAGTTAAAACAAAATTCCTCAACTAAGCTAACAGAAAAAACTCCAGTCGGTTACTCATATTTCATGGCAGCATTCCCTGTGAAATATCCTGGCAGCATCACCGTTGGTGAGGCAACTTAACTGTTCTCACTTTACTTTGAAGCGTCTTTAAACACTTCAAAAATATTTGCAAAAACTAACACTTCATAAAACTATGTGAATAGACGTCATTTAAATGGGTTAGAGTAGCTCAAATGCCGTAACGTTAAAGTTACTCCTAGCTAGCTAAACTCGTAACCGTTAAGATTCCCAGTGTGGAGGATTTAAAAACGGAATAAAAGCATCTCGCCAGTGAAGCAAAACTCACCTTGTTAATGAGAAAACAAGTTATTCCTTTTAAAAAGTGTTAATCCGAGCGAGCTTATTTGGCGTTGTTAAAAAACAGAAGGAAAGGAAATCCACAGTTTGGAAATACTTTAGGAAGTTTGGGAGAAGCGTCGTCGTTGTTGCCGCCTTCAACTGAAGCCACATTCTGTTCCCCGCTGGAGCCGTAACAAGTAGATAGGAATACATGTGCGGTGCATGGAAGCGGGAAAGGGGGGGGGGGGGCTCGGGACGACGGTGACAAATTTACACCAACGACGCCTACACACACACTTAAAGAGAAACTATCTAATTTAATAAAATTATAATATACTCAGTAATATACTACACCGCATTGAAGAGCGTGTCTATGCCCTTTAATCTCGAGGATCTCCGCGGACCTCCCCTATCAGAATCCACATTTGGTATCGCCCACGGCTGCCTCTCATTCCATTCCTCCCGACTGTGCTGGACTGGAGCTCTGCCGCATTAATTTTGGAAGACGGCGGGGAGAAATAGTAACGGCGTCGCCCGTCCGTATGTATTAAAAGCGCACTCAGAAAAAGTTTTGCGATGCAGGGACAGTGTATTTTTACATGCGGATCACCAACACTCCAACACTCTGCAGCCTGGTTTCTTTTAAATGCCCTTTTCTGACCAGGACCATAATGAAACATGTATAATAAATCATTTCACAAGGATAGACGAAGGATACCAAGACCCAATTTATAAAACACCCCAGTTATATGATATCATAGAACATAAAATTATCATGATGCATTCTACCATAAAATGACTTTGAACTTAATAGGAGGTCAAATTTTAACTGCCTATGTAAATATTAGAGCAGGGTAAGTGAGTTTTGCTGAGTGAGGCAGTGACTTAAATTCACTTAAAAATTCACTTAAAGTCACTTAAATGACATAATATTAAATAGTATCAATTAATATGCACAGAGTCTTTAATGTAACTGGTTGTCTTATGTCAGAATCAGGTTTATTGGCAAGAGCTTTTCACACAAGAAATGTTCCTCCATATCTTGGTGCATGTCAAAGTAAAACAAAAATAAAAATAAAACAAAATAACTCAAAATAAAATAAAATAAATAAAAATTAAATCAAATTAATAAAAATAAAAAGGCAAAGGTTCATAAAAGGCAACAAAACAGAAAAAAAATAATTTAAAAAATATGAAAAAATTGTAAAATAAATCTGTTTTTAAAATGTAAAGAGCTGTACAGCATTTAAAACAAACTACATATGCAAAAATCACTTTTGTACATTATTAGCTACCACATCAACGCCAGCCTTACATAAGCAGGTATAGTAAGTGTGAAAAATGTTCAGCTCAGAGTGGACACCAGCTGTGCCACAATAATAAATGTACACATGCTTCATTTCCATGCTTATAAAGATAAATTCCTTTTATACAGGACCCTCACACTCCTCCTAAAACCCTGTCCTCCCCCTACATTACTAGCTACAACATCAATGCCATTATCAAGGACTAAGGTTTTATTGGACACATGTAAATGGGGGTTTTGGGGTTCTCCACCAGAAAATTTTGAGCATCAAACACTTAGTTTTCTGCATTCTGGTAAATTTTATGCATCAATTTATGGCTGAAATGTCTTATATTTTTGAAAAATAAAACGCTCTGCTGCTGTCATGTCATGCCACTGGACAAATACTCGTGTTATAAATATTAAGAGGGACTTGTCCCCTGTGTCCCCCCAGAAATCTACACCTGGCAATTGAATCACTGAAGAAGAAATAAAGGAAACCTCTTTTGCAGACTGTAATGTTTTGTGCTGTATTTCCTCTTATTAAAACCCGAGCCAGCGAGTTCGAAGGGAAACTAGGAATGAGGGAAGTGGTGATATAAAGCGCCGCCAACCTTACATGAGTAGGAAAAATGTTTGGCTCTGAGTGGACACCAGCTGTGCCACGATAACAAATGTACACATGCCTCATTTCCATGCTTATAAAGATAAATTCCTTGTATATTGGACCCTCACACTTCCCCTAAAGCCCCGTCCTCCCCCTTCAACATGTCAGCCACTGGCTTAAAAGTGGGGAGCGCCCCTCTTAGTTGACATGGTGACCTGTAATTAGTGCTCGGGGGCCCAGACTCGGCTCAAAACTGCTTGTCAGAGAGAGAAATGGAGGGGCAAACATGAAAAGGGGCGCGGAAGTGTGCCTGGTCAAGCTAGGCTAAACCCCCTCTGGCCCCGAGTGCGCATGGCTTTGAAGTGACATCAGAAAGGGACCTGTGGACAACAAAGGTGGCCAGAGACCATTATCTTAAATAAACTGCAGACCACAAATCCCCAATCCCTGGATCAGACGCCAAACAGATTGAGTTACTGTTATGTTTGAAGCTGCAGAAAGAGTCAAAATGTAAATCTTAATGTCATTTGGTGGGGGTGGCATAAAGTATCTGTGACACCCATTAACACTAACAGTACCTCTTTGTTTGTGCAACATATTCAAAACAGTTTCATTCATAATTTTGGTTACCCGAGCAGATTGCTGTCTCTGCCCACTGGTTCCTTGTAGGATGCACATATAAAGACTCTTTGTCCTCTAAAACACAAAAACCCCTTTTCTAAACACAATCCAAAAACCACTGTAACAAATGCCACTCCACATATGACACATCTGACATGCTGCACAGCTTATATCCCTCCTCTTCCTCCCTCTCAAACCGCAGAGTGCTTCCAGTCTTTGTCTGCATCACCCCGCCTTGATTTGATTAGCTGTGTCTCTGGCCGGTGGTGGAGGTGCAGCGGGGAGCAGGTTGGGCTTCTGGTTGTGGCAGTATCTGACTAATTGAAATAACTCCCTCTGTGTTTCTGTCTCCCCAGGGGAAGATGAGTAGCCCTCCTCCCCTCGCCAGACTTCAGTCAGCAGGGAGAGTCCTTGCCATCAGCCCTTCCCTTGGTTTAATGTGACACATACTCCAGCCCCCAAAGCAAAGCAAAAACACAGCACTTTCTCTGTTCTGTTGTACTGTAACACGGAATGATAACACAGAAGAGGTTAAAGCCATTTATTGTAACAATTACAAAAGCTGTAAACAACCAAAAAAAAAAAAAATCTGTGGTCAGGCTGTTCTCATGCACTGTTCATAGGTATACAAAAAGCAATACACCAGAATGTGTATATGTATATATATATATATATATAACCCACGTAATCATGAGCCAGTATTCATATTTAACCCTTGTAACTGGGAAGGCTGTGATTACGTGACCCATATGCTGACTGGAGTAAAAACAGATGTAGTATAAATAGTGAAAGTCCACGTAAGGATGTGGGTTGAGGTGGTGGGTCACACAAATGTGACTTTCCCCCTAGGAGACTGCTGATCATGTTGCGTGTTAAAAAAAGTGGTTTTATTTTATGGTATGTCGTCACCACGTGTCTTTTCTTAAACCTAACCTACATAACTTTACTTTCCTACACCGAACCTCTTTACCTAAGTGTTAAATAGGTAACATTAGGTTAAGTACATAACCTGATGATGCCCAACCATGTTTCTTTTATTAAACCGAACCTATATAACTTTATCTTTCTAGACCTAAACTACGTAAACTATGTAACTTAACGTTAATATGTAACTTTACTTTAAGCAGGAAATGTCAGGCTAAGTACACAACATGACGACGCCCAACCAAGTTTCTTTTCTTGAGCAACCTATGTATTTTTAGTTTCCTAAATCTAACCTATGTAACTTTAAGTTAAGTACGTAACTTTACTTTCTTACACCAAACCTACATAACTTAAGTATTAAGTAGGTAACGCTGGATTAAGTACGTAACATGGCAACACTCAACCAAGTTTCTTTTTTTGAATCGAACCTCCCTAAACCTAACTTGCGTAACTGTACTTTAAGTAGGTAACATAAGGCTAGGTGCATAACATGACAACCGAACCAACATAACTTTATTTTTCTAAACCTACGTTATGTAAATTATGTAACTTAACACTTAGTATGTAACTTTAAGTTAAGTGGGAAATTTTAGCTTAAGTACGTATCGTGATGACACCCAACCAAGTTTCTTTTCTTAAACTGAACCTATGTATTTTTACTTATGTAAACCTAACCTACTTAACATTACGTTAAGTATGTAACTTTTCTTTAAATAGGAAACGTTAAGTTAATTACGTAACATGACAATGCCCAACCATGTTTCTGTCCTTAAACCGAATCTATGTTTCTTTTGTTTTATTTAAACCCAAACTATGTAAACTATGCAACCTAATGTTAGGTACATAAGTACGTGACAAGACGACATCCAACCAAGTATTTTTTTTCTTAAACTGAACTTATGTATTTTTACTTCCCTAAACCTAACTTATGTGACTTTATGTTAAGTATGTAACTTTACTTTAAGTAGGTAACTTCGGGTCAGTTATGTAAAGTGATGATGCCTAACCATGTTTCTTTGCTTAAACCAAACCTACGTAACTTAACCTTCCTAAGCCTAACCCACGCAAATGGACTGCACTTGTATAGCACTTCACTCTCTACTCTTCCAATCACTCAAAGCGCTTTCAGAAGATTTTAGAACCTGACTGCTCTCATTCAGCCATAGGAGTGAGGTTGTTGCAACCTTTCTTCTGCCATCTGTTAAGTCCAAACTTAATTGCAGTGTGGTCAAGAATGTTGCATTTGGAAGGTGTTGTATTGTTGTTCGAGGTAATGCATTCCTCAGATTTACTGGAAACCTTTATTTTTTCTGCACACTAAATAATCAGGCATATTTGAACTAATCTTGATGGCCCTTCTATTTGCCTTCAAAAGAATGCTTGTAAATTGCTGCAGTTTAAATCTGACAACAAGCATGTGTTTTTGAGACTTCTTGGAGCTCGGACATAAAAGTCCAAGAAGCCGTGCGTTCAGTCAGAGTGCAGCAGATGTTGTCTAATGTGGTTATTGGTGCTCTGTTATGTAAAAAGCAGCAGTGTAACTTTGGGTCAAGAGAGGAGTTTCCCGGTTTTGAGTGCCAGATCAAACAGCACTGTCTGTATTATATTGCTTGTCATGTTTATTTTATGTACTTTTTTTGAATGAGCTTGAACGTACGTAGATCCATTCTCAGACAATAAGGCAGATGGCCGGTCAGTTGCATGAGATCCTTGATTCAATATTCTCT